AGCGCGCCCCCCTCCCCCCCCCGCCCATTCCACCCCCACTCCCTCTCCTCCCACCTTGCGGGTATCCTGGGCTCAACGCGGAGCCTGCCAGCCCAGCTCAGGATGTGCGCGAGCCTCCTGCCCCGCCACCCCCACCACCTCTGCCGCCCCCACTGCCCCTCTATGCCTCGTGCTCTCCGAGGACTTCTGTGCCCGCACCCCCTTTGCCAGGCGCTAATAGTAGCAGCGAAAACCCGCCCCCACTGCCCCCGAAGTCCCCCAGCTTCCAAGCCCCGTCGCAGAAGGCCGGCATGCAGACCTTGCCCACGCCCCCAGCACCCCCGGGAATCCAGCCACTCCTGCAGAAGAAGAGACCCGGCAGAGGCCCTGGTAAGCTGGCACTCGGTCGGGGCAGCCGCCAGTTATGGCCATGCGAGGGGCCAGGTGAGGGGACGTTCCAGTGAGCCAGTTGGGACGACCTGGGGTTGTCTCAGGCCTCCAGAATTGATTGTGGAGCATGATAAAGATCTGTATTTTGAGACTTCACCGTTGAAAGTATTCACCTTAGAGAGGAAGCCAAGGGGAAGGGAGGCTGGGAGACTCCCCAAACCAGGTAGGTGTTACAGAAGCAAGGGAGTCTGGCCTCCATCCCCTGCCATTACTAACTGTGGGACCCGGAGCTGTGCTCAGCCCCTCTGTGCTCAAGTCCCTCTGTACAGTTTCCAGCCCATTGCTTGTTGTCAAGTTTAGGTGAGTTCTTGAAAAGGTGCTTGGGACAGCACCTTGCAGCCGTGAGCTATGGAGAAAGGTTATTTATTCCTGCTATCCTCTTTTGGAGGCCATATCTGCTCTCTGAGTCGTCCTCCCTGGGACTGGGGGGTGTGATTTGTATCCAGAGGTGTTTAATCTTTGAATTATTCCAGTCTGGCTCCTCACCTGCACTCAGTAGACTGGATTTGTACCCTGCCATATTGTTAGCTGGTCTCCAGCTTACTCACAAAAACTGAGGACCTGTTTTTTAAGTCAGTTATGGAAAACCATTCCTTCACATGGCCAGCATTGGTGAGGTTGAATTGAGTGTACCCCCATGGGTAAGGTCCCTGCTCTCTGGAGTAGTGACATTGTAGGCTCCTTCAGGGCCATTCTGAATGGGAAGGTGCACCCCAGATCCATACACACCCACATCCACAAACACATTCATGAGGACACACACACTCACGAATACACGTTCACACACGTACGCCTTACTCTTTCAGAAAACCTTGTGATGCAGACTGTTTCTTAAGTACATTTCCTTGAATTAAACTCAATACAGGGTCACTGTGGAGCAGGTAAAAGGAAATTGAAATCACGCATCATGGGATTAGCCAGAGATGCAAACTGCCTTGTGGAATGGTTTCCTTCATTTTCCTTAGTATAGGTGATGTTTGCATAGTTAATGCTATTTTGTATATACAGTTTTATATTGTTTTAAATATTATATTAAAAGCAGTTTTGGAGAACCAGCAGTTAGTGTAATGGCTATGTCGCTGGACTCACACATAGTCGACTGCGATTCGCGTCCCGGACCCAATGGCTTAGAACTCACTCCGGGTGCATGTGCGTGTGTGCCCAAGATCCCGAGAGGAGAATGGAGGAGAAGGGATTGCGGCGTGGCCATCCCCTCTGGGGGGTGATTTCTCGCTTTCTGTCTCTCTGTCTCTCTCTGTCTGTCTGGCGAGCGCACGTGCCCTATAGTGAAAAACCTCTCCAAAAAAAAAGAAGAAGAAAAAGAAAAAAAAAAACAGTTTTGTCAAATCACTACAATTTCCTGATGATTAGCAGCATCTTCCACCTTCCAGGGTCAGATATCAAGTTGATTCCACTTTCTGCTCTTAAGAAGACTATTACAGGAAATTCTTCCATAGAAATTTGAGTCTACATTTTGGGTTATTTACAAGGAGATGTTCTTGGGGCCAGCTGGTGGCACAGTGGTTGGGGCAGCTGGATCACACATGGCCAAGTGCACAGGTCTGAGTCCAGACCCAGCAAGCAACTTGAGAAACATGCCAGGCCAGGCACGTGTGGAGGTGTGCCCAAAATCCCAAGAGGAAGTTGGAGAGGAAAGGATTGCGGCGTGAACATCCCTCTTGGGGGTGCTTTCTCTCCCTCTCTCTTTCTCTCTCTCTCTCTCTCTAGTGCACATGCCCTATAAGAAATTAAAATAAATAAATAAATAGGTTCTTTAAGGAGAATTCCTGGTATGAGGGGCAGGATACTTGTAAAAACCTTAGTCACAAGAGATAAGGTTTTCTGTTTGCTTTTGTTGCTGAGAGAGATTTTTGCTACAGGGCTCTTGTACTCACTGGAGAGAGAGACAGAAGGTGAGAAATAACCCTCCAGGGGGAATGGCCACACCACAAATCCCTTCTCCACTCCACTCTGCTTTCCAGATTCTGGGCATGCATATATACCTGCCCAGTGTGAGTTTCAAGCTGCGGGGTCCCGGACTCAAACCACAGTCATCCACATGTGAGTCCAGCACCTTAACCAAGTATGCCACCTGCTGGCCTCAGGAGATAAGGTTTTAATTTTTCTCCTTTCAACTGACTGACCAACGTGAGAGGGCCAGCATTTGTGCTGGTGAGCGCCTTCTGATATTTGTGATTTTTAATTGTTTCTGGTGTTGTAAGAAAAAAAAATGCTCTCAGTCTGAGTTCAAATTCTGGTTCTTTGTTTTTGTTGTTGTTTGAGAGATTTTTTTGCTCCAGGGCACTTGTACTCACTGGAGAAAGGTGAAAAATCACCCTCCGGGGGAATGGCCACACCACAAATCCCTTCTCCACTCTACTCTGCCTTCCGGATTCTGGACATGCATGTACACCTGCCCAGCATGACCTCATGTGTAACCTCATGGCAGTTGGTGGTTTATTTAAATCTTGATTTTTTTTTTCTTCTAATTTGACAAGTGTGAATAACACCACCACCTTTCACCAGTGTGGTTAGGAATGTTAGCCAAGAGAGTGTTCATGGAGGGTTTGCGGGGCTCAGCAGCACTGATTCCCTTCCCTCTCCCTCACCACGTGTTGGGGCAGCTTCTCATCCTGAAGAGGGTCGGCCGTCCCTCCAGTCCTTCACCTGTCAGTCTGCTCAAGGGAGCAAGTCAGTCCTATGCAGGGAGGACTAGAGAGGGGGACGAAGGAGGCTGGAAATGAGCAAGGAAGAGGAGCAGAAACCCAGGAAGAGGAGGAGATTGACTGGTGCCCCTGAGCCACCATCTCTGCTGCCGGGCATCGTCCCCTGCTCCAGGGCAGGGCACCCCAGGCCAGGAAGGGATGCTCACCTGGCTTCTTTCTTGGTGTCTTTGGGTGCAAAACTTGTTTTCTCCAGTTACAAAGTGAGGGTAGCTTCTGCTTCAGCCCAAGCTCTTCAGCTTGGAGAGAAGAGAAAGAGGTTGCAGTCATGAAGATCTTGGCACAGATCATAGTGGCTGACTGTCATCATTTCAAGAAGCCGACCAGCAGGTGGCGTGATGGTTAAGGCCCTGGATCCCACATACCCGACTATGTTTGAGTCCCAGACCCAGCAGCTTAAAAAACATGCCTGGTACAATCCCAAGAGGAGAATGGAGGAGAAGGGATTGCAGCGTGGCCATCCCCCTTGGGGGTGTATCTCACTTTTCCTCTGTCTCTGTCTGTCTCAGGCAAGTTAATGCACCCTATAACAAAAAACAAAAAAGAAAGAAAGAAAGAAAGAGAAAGAAAGAAAGAGTGATGCTTACAGTCACTGAACGGATACAGTCATCTCTCAATACCACAGGAAGTTGGTTCCAGGACCCCAGTGGATAGCAAAATCCATGGGTACTCAAGTCCTTGTATAAACTGGCGTAGTACTTGCTTATCACCTACACATGGCCACCTCTAGTCTAACACATTCTTTAAATCACCTGTAGATGACTTATAAAGTAATCTTAGCATAAGATATACATAAAAAGGAAAATCTATAGATAAACTTTTCAGCATCTGTCTTTTAGGGAGCCACCCCCCCACCCCATTTTATAATGGCTGGTGTGGTCTGGCTGCATCGTAGTTGGTGAAGCCATGGATGGGAGCCATGGAAGTGGAGGGCCAGTTGTGAGCAGCAGTGGGATACTTGCATTGATGAACTAAGACAGCGGGTTACTGACTGCCTAATGTGTCATATGAAAAAGTATTGGCATGAGGCTCTCACGGACATGATCAGGGAAGGCTTAAGGAAGTAGGTTGGATTTGAGTTAGGCCCTAGCGGGCCAGTAGGATTTACTGGAAGGAGGAAGGAGGGTTCACTATGCAGGAGAACCAGCGTGAGCAGAAAAAAGCCCCTGACAGCTTGTCTTCTAGCTTCCCGCTGGAACCTCACCTTCAGACAGCCCTTCCCTGGTGACTTACGACTGTGCAGTGCTTCCCCTCCTTTGGACTGTGCTGTCTGATGATGAAGGCTCTCGCCACCACTACAATCATTGCAGCAGCTAACATTTTTTGAGCATTTAATACAGACATGCCGTTTGACTTTGGTCAACTCATTTAATCCCCTCAACAACCCCAGGATGCGTGCATATTATTATTACTCAGATTTTATGGATGGACAAACTGAGACACAAGGAGGCTGTTACTTATCTCACCTAACTGCAATTCAGCCCCCAGCAGGTGGGCCCCAGAGGCTGTTCTTTTACTCACTATATATCATTTACATCCGAGGACCTCAACACTAAACCTCTCACATAAAGTTCTAGCATTGACCATCGCCATCCCTGTGTCTGAATGTGTCATCATCTTCCCTGTAAGGAACAAGCGGGGCAAAGCTTAATCCACCTCCAGCCCCTCCTGCAAGATCTCCCACCACTGAGCTTTCAAGCAAGAGCCAGCAGGTCCAAGCCTGGAGCCCGACACAGCAGCCCGGAGGTCAGCTACGAAATGGAAACCTGCACATCATTGGTGAGCTGGGGACAGGGGAGTTGCAGAAGTGGTGCTGTCAGTGAGATGTGATTCCCCTTGACCTTGGACAGAGTTTGCTATTTTGAGATCTGTGCTTCTCAGTAAACAGGGGGTTCGCCCCAGCACAGAACAACCAATAGGTTCTGTGAATAGGAGTCCTTTTAAGGCTTCTGAGTGGTCCCAGAGCCAATTCTTGAGCCTTGTAATTCAGATTAGAGAAAGGGGTGGGGGACCAGCATTTAAATTGTGTGTATGTATATGTGTCCATGGAGAAATCAATGCATAAGCTTGAAAGACTAGAGTGATTTGGATAAGGGGAAGGAATAAATGGAAGGCTGCAGGCAGAGCAACGATTAGAGCAAAAATATAGAAGTAGGGAGCCAGCCCCAAGGTCTAATGGTAAGGGAGCCAGAACTCACATGGCCAACCATACTTTGAATCTCAGCCCCCAGCAGCTTGAAAAGGCATGTGTATGTGTGTACACAAAATCCAAATGGGCTGGAGAAATGGAGGAGCAGGGATTGTGGCATGACCAATGACCATGCTTTTTCCCTCTCTCTAGTGAGCCAACATGCTTTCTGGCAATTACAAAAATATATATGGAGGTGGGAAGGAGTCAGACATGAGCACAAATCTTTGGATCCCTTTGTGTGCTAGGCTCCTGTCAGACACAGGCCCAGATCACAAATCAGGTCTCTGCCCATGAGTCCACCAGACTCATCCCCTCCTGCCATCAGGAGCTCAGGTTCGAGCCTGTTGGCTTTGGGGAGCACTGGCCACAGGCCATGCTCCTTCCACCAGCCACGCTGAGGACTCCTTTTCTGCCCACCTCTCCTCACCCCCAGAGCCCTCCTCAGGAGCTCAGCAGGTGCCCCCAGATTCCCTGCCTCTGATCTGGACCTGGATATCCCAGTACCTTCTGCCCCTTTGGCACCAGCTTCCTTAAGATGTTGGCTGGAGTAAGTTGGGTGGATGAAGGAGAATAATGGGGATTTTGCTTTTCCAGTGTCCCCCTCATCCCAACCAACCAGTTAAACTCAACAGGTGAATGGATGTCTTGGGGAAATAGCCCTGCCATTGAAGCCCTTGCCCCGAGCAGGACACCAAGCACAGAGTTCTGGATGCATCAGGGTATTCTGTGTGCACCCGGAAGTGATCTAGACATGGGTCGTGACAGCAACCTGAGCAGCCCTTTCCATCTCTTATGTGTGCAGATGACTTCGAGTCTAAATTCACGTTCCATTCTGTGGAAGACTTCCCCCCTCCGGATGAATATAAACCATGCCAGAAGATTTACCCCAGCAAGATCCCCAGAAGTAAGTACCTCCTTGAAAAGACAGTGGCTTTTCCTGATCCTCCAAAACCAGGTGCTCAGGGTGCACCGATTGGTCACAGACCGACTAAAGGCTGATATTGTTATTCTCCTGCAAGGATGCAGTGCTGTGTGTGCTTCTGAAAGTTTCAGAATATTTTTTTGTCCTGATACTTAAGGGTTCGTGTAGAGGATTTTACAGAACACCAAGGTAACTGGCATCAGAGTTGGATGCCTACACTTACCACTCATCTCTCCCCTCCTGGAGCTTTTGACTAGGGAACTAAATACCCCCAAAACCCACAGCAGAATGGAATATGAGAGTTTGCATTAATGGCTGGGGAAGAACCCAAATGTAGAACTCTGGCCAATCATGAAATGGAAAACGTTTGTAGGTCACTGGCTCTCGTCCTCGGCTACACATCAGAATGACCTGCAGAGCTCTTAACAATCCTGAGGGCGAGGCTGCGTCTAGACCAACTGACCGGAATATCCAGAGTGGGACCCTGGTGTCAGTATTTTTTGAAAATTGCCAAATGATTATTGTGCACAGCCAAGGCTGAGAATCACAGTCCAGAGTGAGGCTGCCTCCTCCTAATTTAATTGTGTGGTCAGGCTTCAGGGGAGGCTTTCACTCAGCTTACTCGTCCAACCTCAGAGTGGAAGACGAGGAGGCTGACCAGACTGCTCCTCAGAGCCGAAACAGGAGGGAGGAAGGGAAAGCAAGACTGGGGTGCTGACCACACAGTGCTGCCGACCACTGGCTAACATGGGTCACTTCCTGCCCAGTGCAAGGCTGGCCAGGTTGGGCAGCAACTAGGAAGAGGCAAGTGGCATCAGCCACACGAGTGAGGTAAGGCGTGTTCCCATCCCACAGCCTAAGCAAGGCCCCTGGGACTCCAACATCCCCAGGCCTGAATGACAATCACAGTGTCCATTAGAGTTAGCCGAAGAATCAGGAACCGGGCTTTCTGGCCACAGAGCCCTCTCCTTTCAGAGAGACCTTGGCGAGATCCCTTTGCAGGACTCAGCTCCCTGCAGAGCAGAGGGAACGCAGTGCTGGCTCTGCTCAGTTCAGAGTCCCCTAGGGGCCGGCCTGGGCAGGTCTTCCTCTGCCAGCCAGTGGGACTGCACATTTAGAGGGAAATGACCTCTCACTTATTAACACGTCAGTAAGTGCTAACGAATAGAGAAAGACCTGCCATGGTTTCAGTGACATGCCCCCTCCCTGAAGCTTCATGTGTTGTGATTTGGTTGTGAACATATTAAAAAGAAATATAAACTAGCTCCATGTACAGTGGATAAGCACTGTGTATTTGGAGCCAGATCCCACCTGGTCAATCGTGGTTCGAATCCTGACCCAGGCAATTTGAACACATGTGTAAGTGTCCAAATTGCCGATGGGAAGGAGAAATGAAGGGAAAAGGATTGTGCTATGACCATGCCTCATGGGAAGGAGATGGAGCAGTGCTTTCTTTGCCTCTGCCTCCTCTCTCTCTCTCTCTCTCTCTCTGGTGAGTACATGCACTTTCCAAAAAAAGGGAACCTAATTTGGGGAAGAAATTAGAGTTGAAGTCATCAGGGTGGGACAGCTATGGCCGACTCCTCACTAGTTTGTAAGGAGAGGGAGTAGGACAGACAGACTGATGGACACAGCCACTCTGCTCTGGTGTCACCCTCACGCGTGATATCTCAGGACTCTGCGAGACCCCCCCCCACCATCCCCACCCAGCTGCCCCCGGACCTTCACACCCTGAGCTGAATAAACTTAGATTCTTTTGAATTACCCAGACTCAGGCATTTTCTGTTAGTAACAACAGAGTGGACTTGACCAAGAGAGGAGCAGGGTGCAGGAGGGCCGAGGAGAGCCACACCCTCCTCTGTAGGCCGTCAGTGGCCCGTGGAGGCGGGGCAATGGGAGAAGACAGGTGCTGCTCCGGTCTTGCATTCTTGCTCAGTTCAGCAAATGTGCACAAGCTGCCCATTCTGCACCGGCACTCTGCCAGCCCCAGAGGCTGCCAAGCTGAGAAAGGAGGGCCCTACACCAAGCACCCACCATACACGTGCCTGAGACAGACCCGTGAGAAATCAGCCAGCCGTAATGCAGTGAGAGTGCCTTGTCAGTGATTGCTCTGAGTAATGAGGGCACTACAGTGGGCCCGTGGGTGGAGAGGGAAGGTCACATTTCCACGTGGCTGGGAGGGCATGCCAGGCCAGAACAGCACCAATCCAGGAGAGAGCACGATAGTACTTGGTTCATTCAGGACCCGTAGGTCCCATGTGGTGTACAGGATATCAGGTAGCTGGCTGGGGTGGGAGCACAGGCTGTCCGCAGTCAAGACTGGCCAGTGGGACTGCACATTCGGAGAGACAGCCTCTCTTAGTAACATGTAAGTGCTAATTAAGAGAGCGGGAAGAAGAGGGGCGCGCGCGGGGCGTGAGCCCGGGGCCTTCCGGCGGGCGCGTGGCGGCTGCTGCTGCCACGTGCATGCT